CGGGTCGGGTTGTTTCAGAAAAAAATCAAGTAAGAAAAATATTATCGATAAGAGATTGACACGTAAACAAGATTATAACTCTCCAGATCGTGACATATGTTCAATATTGATCAGATGATGACATGTATTAAATTTTAAAATTAATTAAAAAAGTAAAACTAAAAATAGAAAACGAACTAAATAGTTATCACATTATATATAGAGAGACCGTAAACAATAAAAAAAATAGAGAGAAAATAAAAATTTTAATTAAGAAAATAATATGAATGATAAAACAAAAAAAAATTTATAAATTGAAAAACAAAAAAAATTAGAAAGAATATGGAAATCTCAATGTTAAAGTTTATATAAACATACCAAAGAAAAAAATATTTGCAAACATAATTATTTTGTAAACATAATTACAAAAAAATAGAAATATTCTACCTATACTTTCTAAAGTAAAAAAGGAAAATTATATAAAATAAAAATTTATACATGTTATAAAATAATAATAATATATAAACTGTAAATTTATACATGTTAGAAAATAGAATTTTTCTACTTAAACTTTTCACTGTAAGATTTGAAGAGTATAGATAGATCTCTATGAAAAATAGTCTGATGAAATCAATGATATTTATCAATCATATATTTATATATAATGCTTGATAAAACGATTTATAAAATATTTTATAGACTTTTATGAGATTATTCACATAAATTTATTGCCTTATGATTTAACTCTATGATATTTTAATTGTTATAAGATTTTATCATATAGTTAATATAAATTCATAATGGGTAAGAATATTTTTTTTGTTATTACGAATATGATTTGAATTTCATTTATGTATATATATTTTTTGGTCTGCATAATATGAATTAAGACAGGAGAATTAAGATATGAAGTAAACTTTAATGGTGTAAGACCAATGTTTAAATATTAGAAGTATTTTTATAATTTAAAGGGTTACTAATTAAACTTAATTTGATATTTAATAATATAAATCAGTAAAACTAAATCCAAAACTCTGGTGAAAAATTTATAGTTATCCTAATCCTAATTAAATTCTGAGTTCTAATTCCATCGTTCGTGTACATTCACTACCTAATGAAATATCTTACGTTTCTTTATTTTTATATCAAACAATTTCTTAAACTTGGGAAACCCTAGCTAGAATCAGATAAGTATGGTGTCGGACGACGACCTGAAAGTCATTATTATTATGATCTGCATGTTATTGTTCTGTCTCAGCGGCGGAATATGTGTGGTTGTGAACCTACATCGTGAGCTATTTTTAGAAAAAGACCCTACATCATTGTCGGAAGCCAAGAATTGCATATGTAGCTGCAAGGACTATCGTGAGGATCTCGAGAAAGCACTTAGCAAATCCAATCTAGGTGCAAGCATATCACAACCATCTAAGGATTAACTATAGATTCTTTGTTTCATAAGTTTGCTAGATATTTTCGTTTGATTGGTGTTGAGCTTTGAGTGGCACCGTCTATTTTAGACCTTTTTCTTCTTCAATCTCTTTTATTTATTTTATGAATATATATCGTATTATTTATATTATCAATCCATAAAAGAACAATGATAGAGTTCCAGTTATAAATTTTATAAAAGTTACGTATTAGTGTTGTTAGTTGTTACTCTCTAATCACACGAAAGATAGGATTTTCAAAACTTGGCATCTCTATTCACACTTTGGAAAACCAAAAACAATAACAAGAGCATGAATACTTATAAACATATGTTCAATATTGATCAGATGATGATATATGTTAAATTTTACAATTAATTAAAAATAAAATTAAAAATAGGAAACAAACAAAATAATTGTCAAACATTGTATATAGAGAGACTATAAACAATAAAAAAAGTAGAGAGAAAATAGAAATTTTAATTAAGAAAATAATATAAATGATAAAACAAAAGAAATTTTATAAATTGAAAAACAAAAAAATAGAAAGAATATGGAAATCTCAATGTTAAGGTTTATACAAACATACCAAAGAAAAAAATATTTGCAAACATAATTATTTTGTAAACATAATTATAAAAAAATAAAAATATTTTACCTATACTTTCTAATGTAAAATAGGAAAATTATATAAAATGAAAATTTATACATGTTATAAAATAATAATATTATATAAACTGTAAATTTATACATGTTAGAAGAAATAAATTTTCTACCTATACTTTTCAATGTAAGATTTGAAGAGTATAGATAGATCTCTATGAAAAATAGTCCGGTGAAATCAATGACATTTATCAATCATAGATTTATATATAATGCTTGATAAAACGATTTATAAAATATTTTATAGACTTTTATGAGATTATTTACATAAATTTATTGCTTTATGATTTAACTCTATGATATTTTGAATTGTTATAAGATTTAATCATATAGTTAATATAAATTTATAATGGGTAAAAATATATATATTTTTTAATTAAAAATATGATTTGAATTCTATTTATGTATATATATTTTTTCATTTGCATAATATGAATTAAGACATGAGAATTAAGATATGAAATAAACTTTAATGGTGTAAGACCAATCTCTAAATATTAAGACCAATGTCTAAATATTAGAAATATTTTTATAATTTAAAGAGTTATTAATTAAAATTAAAATTTTGATATTAATAATTTTCAATGTGCTCATCCGCGTATTAATGCATGGCCTAATCTAGTAATAATATAAATCAGTAAAACTAAATCCAAGACTCTGGTGGAATATTCATAGTTATCCTAATCCTAATTAATCTCAGAGTCCTAATTCCATCGTTAGTGTATATATATATACACATTCACTGCCTAATGAAATATCTTACGTTTCTTTCTTTTTTATATCAAATAATTTCTTAAACTTGAGAAACCCTAGCTAGAATCAGATAAGTATGGCGTCGGACGACGACCTGAAAGCCCTTGTTATTCTGATCGGCATGTTATTGTTCTGTCTCAGCGGCGGAATATGTGTGGTTGCGAACCTACATCGTGAGCTATTTTTAGAAAAAGACCCTACATCATTGTCGGAAGCCAAGAACTGCATATGTAGCTGCAAGGACTATCATGAGGATCTCGAGAAAGCACTTAGCAAATCCGATCCAAGTGCAAGCATATTACCACCATGTAAGGATTAACCATAGATTCTTTGTTTTCTAAGTTTGCTAGAGATAGCTTTGAGTGGCAACGTGTATTTTAGACCCTTTTTTATTCAATCGTTTT